GCAACCTTAGCCTCATAATCCCATTTTGCTTTTCTTATTCCTTTTTTTTTATATTTCTCTCTTTAATTGAATATATTGATTTCTTAACTGCTCATCATCTCTTTTGAAAATAAGGAATATCCACTAGGAATTTTTATTGACCTAAGAAAAGCTTTTGACACAGTAGACCACGACATCCTACTCCACAAACTTGACCATTACGGTATAAGAGGCCATGCGCTTGCTTATTTCAAATCTTACCTTACTAATAGGTATCAGTATGTTACCATTAAAGACACAGCATCAACAACACGGCTACTTGATACTGGAGTTCCGCAGGGAAGTGTCCTTGGTCCCCTGCTCTTCCTCATATACATCAATAATCTTCCAAACGTATCCCAACACCTGAAACCCATTCTCTTTGCTGACGACACGACTTATGTCATCTCTCACCCTAATCTTACCACCCTCAACACCATTGTTAACGAGGAGCTGATCAAAATATCGACTTGGATGACAGCCAATAAACTTACGCTTAACACTGACAAAACCTACTATATTATGTTTGGTAGCAGAGCAGGAGATGCACAAATTAACATTAAGATCGACAACACTCTAATTACCGGACATAATGAGGGCAAATTCCTAGGCCTATACCTTGACAACAACCTGAATTTCAGCACCCATATCCAACACATAACCAAAAAAGCATCCAAAACAGTTGGGATCCTCTCCAAGATATGATACTACGTGCCACAAAATGCCCTTCTCACACTATACCACTCACTTATTTATCCATACCTCACCTATGCTATTTGTGCTTGGGGATCAACTGCAGCAACACACCTAAAGCCAATAATAACCCATCAAAAAGCTGCAGTAAGAATAATCACTAAATCCCATCCCTGGCAACACACCCCCCCCACTCTTCATAGATCTAAACTTACTCCCTGTTCAGTACATCCACACTTACTACTGTGCAATCTACATCTACAGGACCTTAAACTCCAATATCAACCTTGACCTAAAACACTTTCTTGATAGTTGTGACAGAACCCACAGGCATAACACCAGACACAAACACCTCTACGACATTCCCCGTGTCCGACTAAACCTTTACAAAAATTCAATGTATGTCAAAGGCTCTAAAATCTGGAACACCCTACCTGAGAACTCTAGAACTGCAGACACATTCATCACCTTCAAAACTACCATTAGAAAACATCTTATCTCCCTGATAAACCCCATCAACTACACGAATACCACCTGGTGGTTCACACTTACACTCACTCACCCATTTGACCATAAACAGAAATATTAATCTCAATCTTAAAATAATGAATCCTATGATACTCCAATACTGAAACTATGTACTGTGCCAAAACAAAAGCATTCACATTGCTAAACTCACAAACTAGTATTTAGTCACTTAGCCATAATACCAACCTACCTCATAATTTGTAATATTTTAAAATAAAGAATTAAACTAAGTCTGCCCGAAATGCCTAGCCATGCTAGGCGTTCTAATGGTACACTCTGTAATCATTATTTAACTACATGTAAACCACACAACAACCAAATTCTGTAAATTCAACATTGTAATCTTTATAGAGAATAAACGTTGAATTTGAATTTGATACGTCTAAAAATGCCTCTCTTTTGATCAATGAGGTGTTTTAATCTATTGTTCATCCACTTGGGATCATTTTTGTTAGATCTAATTTCCCTACTTGAAACAAAAGTTGACTGAGCAGCTAGAACTATGCTTTGAAAAATGTCATATTGGCAAGCAACACCAGCTACCTGACCCATAGCCAGATCATCCCAATTTAGCCCACCCAGGTAATTTTTCAGTTCCATGAAATCAGTCCAGCGGAAGTCTGGGACGGAGACTTGATTGCAGTTTATTGGGTAATTTCATAATACAGTACATTGAAACTAAGAGATCTGTGATCACTTTCCCCAAGCACATCATTAACCACAACAACGTGGTCAGAAATTTGCAATTTGGCCAATTTCACGAAAATTAAAAAATATGACAATTTCATAATAGGGTCCAGAATGAACAATGCAGACATTCCTGGCTCTAAAATAATATTTTCTTTGTTCATCAGTCATATCTCCAGGCCCCTCTGATATTACTCTTGCTTTCTATTTTGAATTTTTATTCAAACAAAAAATAGAAGATTTACTGTTATGTAGACTACTGCAATATTGTAATAATTGTATAAATAATGTCAACCCATTCATGACTGCATATCAGAATGGCTAGTTGGACATTTATTGGAAAATGACATCATTTGTTTACTTTTGAACATCAGCAAAAATCAAACATTTCCCCTACTTTGAGCTCCATTTCTAGGTTCTTTTCATAGTAAAACCAATCAAAATCACCTCTATTTCTATAACATGTTTTCCATTCTATCAAATGAGATCAAGAAAATGAGAATACAACCATAAATACCACACGAAAATAGACCACAAAGTCGGCATTTTAATTAAAAAAAAAACAAAAAAAAAAAAACAACGGTCGGAGTTTTTTTCCCATTATGCACTGCGTGCTGCAGGATTTTTTTTATATGGTGCACACTGACCACACAGACCCATTCTCTCACATGTGGGCCAACCAGCTTTCTCCTGCTCGATTTGAAGCCGCTAGAATTTATGAGTATACAGTGGACCCTCGACTAACGCTATTAATCCGTTCCTGAGAGCTCATCGTTAGTCAAAATAATCGTTAGTCAAGTTAATTTTCCCCATAAGAAATAATGGAAATCAAATAAATCCGTGCAAGACACCCAAAAGTATTGAAAAAAAAAAAATTTTAACACATGAAATATTAATTTTAATACACACAAACTGAAGAAGACATGCACAGTTACATGATACTTACCTTTATTGAAGATCTGGTGATGATTGATGGGATGGGAAGAGGGGAGTGTATTGATGGTCTTAGTGTTTAGAAGGGGAATCCCCTTCCATTAGGACTTGAGGTGGCAAGTCCTTTTTCGGGGTTACTTCCCTTCTTCTTTTAATGCCACTAGGACCAGCTTGAGAGTCACTGGACCTCTGTCGCACAACATATCTGCCCATAGAGGCCTGTACCTCCCGTTCCTTTATGACATTCCTAAAGTGTTTCACAACATTGTCAGTGTCACCATTAATACACTTGTTCAGGTTTCAGTCCTTCACTGTTTTATGTACTCCTTGAAATTTCCTGCACATATTTTTCAGCTGCTTTTTCATCCAAACTGGCAGCCTCACCATGCCTTATCACACTATGTATGCCACTATGATTCTAAAATCTCTCAAACCAACCTTTGCTGGCCTTAAATTCACTCACATCACCACTAGTTGCTGGCATTTTTCTAATTAAATCGTCATGCAACTTCCTAGCCTTTTCACATATGATCGCTTGAGAGATGCTATCTCCTGCTATCAGTTTTTCGTTTATCCATACCAATAACAGTCTCTCAACATCTTCTATCACTTGCTATCTCAGTTTCGAAAACATAGTTGCACCTTTGGCAAGAACAGTTTCCTTGATTGCCGTTTTCTTGGCCACAATAGTAGCGATGGTTGATTGGGGTTTGGTGTACAGCCTGGCCAGCTCAGAGACACGCACTCCACTTTCATACTTTGCAATAATCTTTCTTCATATCCATAGTAATTCTCACCCTTTTTGCTGTAGGGTTGGCACTAAGTTCAAAGTTTATTCTCTATAAAGATTACAATGTTGAATTTACAGAATTTGGTTGTTGTGTGGTTTACATGTAGTTAAATAATGATTACAGAGTGTACCACTAGAACGCCTAGCATGGCTAGGCATTTCGGGCAGACTTAGTTTAATTCTTTATTTTAAAATATTACAGATTATGAGGCAAGTTGGTATTATGGCTAAGTGACTAAATACTAGTTTGTGAGTTTAGCAATGTGAATGCTTTTGTTTTGGCACAGTACATAGTTTCTGTATTGGAGTATCATAGGATTCATTATTTTAAGATTGAGATTAATATTTCTGTTTATGGTCAAATGGGTGAGTGAGTGCAAGTGTGAACCACCAGGTGGTATTCGTGTAGTTAGTTGAGGGGGTAATTGATGACTTGTCTAGGACAGTCTACCAAATTCTTAGCTATTTTGTAAGTATGCCTTCCATTCTATCGACTCAGCAAAAGAAATCACCAATTCAACTATGTCAACTACTCTATAAAGTGATAAGAATTTGGTATTTTGGCCAATTTTACACAAAATTAAAAAAAATGTTAATTTAAAAATAAAGTCCATTATAAACAATGTAGATATTCCTGGCTCTAAAACATTTCCTCTGTTCATTAGTCACATCCCCCAGGCCTCTCCTATATTACACTTGCTTTCCATTTTGAATTCTTATTCACACAAAAATAAAAGATTTGTTTTATTTCTAGGATAATAATATATAACCACGAATGGTTGTTCATCGTTTACTGCAACCCAATAATTGAATAAGACCTATTAAAAAACCCATAAAATAGCCTGGGGATTGTAGGGGGAGGCCTTGCCCATCCTCACTTTCAAGCAACTTCCAGTCCTGAAACCTATAAAAATCATCTCTATAAAAATCATTCTATTCAATGATACAAAGAAACAGCCAGTAAAACTATAAAAACCACTCGAGAAAACACCACAAAGTTGCTATTTTAAACCACACACAGTTGCAGTTTTGTTTTTCCCCATCATGCACTGCATAGAGGAGGATTTTTTTTAGATTAGATTAGATTAGGCCCATTCTCTCATATCTAGGCCAAAATTTACCACTCACAGTTTATGAGTGAGCTGAGCTGATGACGAAGAACTACGTAATGGACCCTGGCCCCAATGTCATAGTTCTACCTAACAAACAGTGAAGAGGATTAATTGTTATTGCTACAATGAATGGCTTGTCTTAACAATTAGCTCAGCAAAGATTTTTCCTAAAACCTTAAATTTATGTTGTAATTTCATCATTTCCTTTCAATAGATGTAGAAACAATGTATGCACTTACCCTTATCATAACCATTTCCACTACTATATTCCAATCCCATGGCTCCCATAGCATGTACAAGGCCCTCAGTCATTGGTTGCTGCTTAACCTCTCTCCCATTTCTAGCTTTCTCTGCACCTCGATATGAAGCTCTGCTCATAGCTGCTTGTTGAGAAGTTGCCTGAAATGCCAGTCATTGATGCACATTATAACAAACCAGGGCATTATTCTACTATCATAAAACTGCTCAACCCTCATCAACAAAATAATGTAAATTTCTATTGATATTATTTCTATTATAGCAACTTCTATTTAGTTTCTAGTGTTGTTTATGTAAAACTGCTGGGCTAACTTCATTTTACAAAATGAAAATAATGCTCTGCCCAATGATAACATAATATTGTAGTGTGCTTCAGCAGCTGTACTAAGATGCTTCATTTTACAATGTCAAGGAATGTCTACGCAAGTCTTTGGGAGCAAACAAGACGAGGGGAAAATTTCTTCGGTAAACACCTTGACAGAAAATTAAAATTCAACACACACAAGAGTGCAGGCACTGTACTTCCCATCTCCAGGAATCAAGTTCGGCCTGCCAGGTTCCCTGAATCCCTTCATAAATGTTACCTTGCTTACACTCCAACAGCATCTCAAGTCCTAAAAACCATTTGTCTCCATTTGCTCCTATCTAACAGGCTCGCGCATGCTTGCTGGAAGTCCAAGCCCCTCATACACAAAACTGCCTTTACCCCTTCCCTCCAACCTTTCCTAGCCCAACCCCAAACCCACCTTCCCTCGACTACAGATTTATACATTCTCAAAGTCATTCTATTTAGTTCCATCCCCTCTACATGTTCAAACCATCTCAATAACCCCTCCTCAGCCCTCTGGATAATAGTTTTGGTAATCCCGCACCTCCTCCTAATCTCCAAACTACGGATTCTCTGCATTATATTCACACTACACATTGCCCTCAAACACGACATCTCCACTGCCTCCAGCCTTCTCCTTGTTGCAACATTTACCACCCATGCTTTACACCCATACAAGAGCGTTGGTATAACTATATTCTCATACATTCCCCTCTTTGCTTTCATGGATAAAGTTCTTCGTCTTCACAGACTTCTCAGTGCATCACTCGCCTTTTTCCCCTCGTTAATTCTATGATTCACCTCATCTTTCATAGACCCATCTGCTGACAAGTCCACTCCCAAATATCTGAATACATTCACCTCCTACATACTCACTCTCTCTCCAATCTGGTATCCAATCTTCTGTTACCTAATTTTTTTGTTATCCTCATCACCTTACTCTTCAATATATTCATTTTTAATTTCCTTCTTTTACATACCCTACCAAACTCATCAACCATCCTCTGCAACTTCTCTTCAGAATCTCCCAACAGCACAGTGTCATCAAAGGGCAATTGTGACAACTCCCATTTTGTGTTAGATTCTTTATCTTTTAACCCCACACCTCTTGCAAAGACCCTCGCACTTACAACTCCATCTATAAATATATTGAACAACCATTGTGACATCACACATCGCTGTCTAAGGCCTACTTTTACTGGGAAATAATCTCCCTCTCGCCTACATACTCTAACCTGAGCCTCAATATCCTTATAAAAACCTCTTCACTGCTTTCAATAACCTACCTCCTATTCCATACATTTGCAATGTCTGCCACATTGTTTTCCTGTCCACCCTATCAAATGCCTTTTCCAAATTCATAAATGCCACTATAATCTCTTTACCCTTATCTAAATACTGTTCACCTGTATGTTCCACTGCAAACACTTGGTCTAAATACCCCCTACCCTTCCTAAAGCCTCCTTGTTCATCTATCTTGCTCTCCATCTTACTCTTAATTCTTTCAATAATAACTACCACACACTTTCCCAGGTATACTCAAGATACTTTTTCCCCTATAATTTTTACACTCTCTTTTGTCCCCTTTGCTTTAAACAAAGGAACTATGCATGCTTTCTGCCAATCCCTAAGTACCTTACCCTCTTCCATACATTTATTAACCCTTAAACTGTCCAAACATAGATCTACGTTTTTTCAACATTTGAAAGTATGTAAAAAAACGTAGAGCTTCTTTTTCTTTTTTTACATTTGAAAACTTGTAAAAAAAACTTTGATCTACATTTTTTTTTTGTTATATTTGAAAATAAGTTAAAAAACATGGATCTACTTTTGGAGCACTACACATGTGAACATAGATCTGTTTGGACAGTTTAAGGGTTAAATAAGAACACTAACCACTCCAAAACTTTATCCCCACCTGCTTTTAACATTTCTATCTTTATCCCATCAATCCCAGCTGGTCTACCCCCTTTCATTCTACTCACTGCCCCATGCACTTCCCCCATACTCAACTGGTTCTTCCTCACTCGTATGTTATTCCTCCTTGCCCTTTACACGAAATCACAGCTTCCCTATCTTCATCACCATTTAACAATTCCTCAAAATATTCCCTTCATCTTCCCAATACCTCTAACTCTCCATTTAGTAACTCTTCTCCTATTTTTAATTAACAAATCCATTCATTCCCTAGGCTTTCTCAACTTGCTAATCTCACTCCAAAACTTTCTTATTTTTAACAAAATTGGTTGATAACATCTCACCCACTCGCTCATTTGCTCTCTTTTCACATTGATCCACCACTCTCTTAACCTCACCTTTTCTCTCCATATACTCTTCCCTCCTTGTATCACTTCTACTTTGTATAAACCTCTCATGCTAACTTTTTCTCTTACTATTCTCATCATCATTCCACCACTTGCTCTCTAATCTATCCTCACTTATGTTGTGTGCATTTGGATCTACAGCAGCCAATCATCTAATACACATTGTAACTCAACAAAAAACTATTAGAATGATTACTCAATCAGGTTCCAGCAAAACACGTGCACACACGCGCACATGCCAGTGACGAGCGGGGTCCCACAGGGGTCAGTCCTGGGACCAGTGCTATTCTTGGTATACGTGAACAACATGACGAAAGGGATAGACTCAGAAGTGTCCCTGTTTGCAGACGACATGAAGTTAATGAGGAGAATTAAATCAGACACGGACCAGACAGGCCTACAGAGAGACCTGGACAGGCTGGATGTGTGGTCCAGAAACGGCTACTAGAATTTAACCCCGCCAAATGCAAAGTCATGAAGATCGGAGGAGGGCAAAGAAGACCACAGACAGAGTATAGGCTAGGTGGCCAAAGGCTGCAAACCTCACTCAAGGAGAAAGACCTAGCAGTGAGTATAATACCAAGTACATCACCAGAAGCACACATTAACCAGATAACTGCTGCGGCATATGGGCGCTTGGCAAACCTGAGAATAGCGTTCCGGTAACTCAGTAAGGAATCATTCAAGACTTTATACACTGTGTACGTCAGGCCCATACTGGAGTACGCAGCACCAGTTTGGAACCCCACACCTGGTCAAACACGTCAAGAAATTAGAGAAAGTGCAAAGGTTTGCAACAAGGCTAGCTCCAGAGCTAAGGGGAATGTCCTATGAAGAAAGGTTAAGGGAAATCGGTCTGACAACACTGGAGGACAGGAGGGTCAGGGGAGACATAACGACATACAAAATACTGCGTGGAATAGACAAGGTGGACAGACAGGATGTTCCAGAGATGGGACACAGAAACAAGGGGTCACAATTGGAAGCTGAAGACTCAGATGAGTCAAAGGGATGTTAGGAAGTATTTCTTCAGTCATCGAGTAGTTAGGAGCTGGAATAGTCTGGCAAGCAATGTAGTGGAGGCAGGAACTATACAGTTTTAAGACGAGGTATGATAAAGCTCATGGAGCAGAGGTTAGTTTAGTTTAATATGTTTATTATGCACCCCATACCCATCCTGTAGGCAGTAGTCAAAAGATTACAGAGGTACATAATTGGTCCAGGGACTGGACTCCAAAGTTTTGATAGCTGAGCAAGTTACAGAGGTAATGAACTCACAATTTACAAAGGTAATGAACTCACAATTTACAAAGGTAATGAACTCACAATTTACAAAGGTAATGAACTCACAATTTACAAAGGTAATGAACTCACAATTTACAAAGGTAATGAACTCACAATTTACAAAGGTAATGAACTCACAATTTACAAAGGTAATGAACTCACAATTTACAAAGGTAATGAACTCACAATTTACAAAGGTAATGAACTCACAATTTACAAAGGTAATGAACTCACAATTTACAAAGGTAATGAACTCACAATTTACAAAGGTAATGAACTCACAATTTACAAAGGTAATGAACTCACAATTTACAAAGGTAATGAACTCCAGGTAGGTCTAGTCACAATCATGACAAAGTTACAAAGGTATTTACAGATTACAGAGGTACGTAATGGGTCCAGGGACTTGGCCCCCAAAGTTTTGATAGATGAACTAGGTACAAAGGTAATGAATCCTGTAAGAATGGTTACTTACGTTTATGCATGGGTACAATCATGAACAAATTATAGAGTAATGAGCAATTCACGCTTCCACACCCGGTCACAACTGTAATGAGTTATTGGTGCAAATATTGATTGTTGAGTCACATACACACATACACAAACTCATACACACAAACACACACACACACACAAACTCATGCACACACACTCATACTTTGGGCACAGAAAGTGCATCATTAGGTCATTTGAGAGACATTCGAGTTGCTCAGTAGTTTGTAGTGCTTGATCATTCCCCAGGATGCAACCCACAACGATCGACTAACTCCCTGGTACCTTTTTACTGAAGGTTAACAGGGACAGTGGGTGTAAGGAGACTCGCCCGTATGTCTCGCCCTGCCCAAAGTTGCTGGTTATGGGGGATTTCAACCACAGGGAGATTGACTGGGAAAACCTGGAGCCACATGGGGGTCCCAAAACATGGAGAGCCAGGATGTTGGACGTGGTGCTGGAAAACCTCATGCACCAACATGTTAAGGACACTACCAGAGTGAGAGGGGAGGATGAACCAGCAAGATTGGACCTTGTGTTCACCCTGGGCAGCTCAGACATTGAGGACATCAAGTATGAGAGTCCCCTAGGAGCTAGCGACCACGTGGTCCTGTGCTTTGAAGACATAGTAGAGCTGCGAGTGGATAGAATAACAGGAGTTGAATGGGAAAAGCCTGACTATAAAAGAGGGGACTACATAGGGTTGAAGAACT